ACCATCGTCGCCGCGGGACGCGGCGCCGCGGGCTCGGGCCGCTTCACGGGCGAGCCCCGGCTCCGGAACGTCCGCGTCGACCGCCCGGCGCGCACGCCGAGCTCCTCGTCCGTGAACTCGTAGTCCGCGCGGTCCACGGTCGCGCGGATGGCGATCTGCCGCGCCGGCGACATGCTCGAGCTCCGCGACGCCTCGCACCAGCGCTGGCTGTGCTCGCCGGCGGGCCGCGGCCGCGTCGCCGCGGCGCGCCGCCGATCCTCGGCGACGCCCATTGGTGTAGTTGCCCCGCGCGCGTCGTCGCGAGCCGCCGCACGCAGCCCTAAACCGGCGCTTGATGACCGTCAACAACGGCGGCGCCGAGGCCGACCGTGCACAAGACGAGGTCGACGCCATGGCTGCCATCGCCCGCAGCGCTGCGGCTCTCCGCACCGCGCCCCCGGCGCTCCGCGCCGCCGCGCGCGGCGTCGCGTCGAAGCGGCAGATCAAGCGCGCGAACTTTTTGCGCCGGCGCGGCGCCAAGCCCGACCCGGCGACGTCGCCCGCGGCCGTCGCCGCCGCCGCCGCCGCCGCGGACCTCGAGTGGAACACGGTCGTCCGCGACGTCGCCGAACTCCAGAACGGCTGGACGCCGCCGCCGGAGGAGTCGCCGGCGCACCTGCCCTTCGCCGTGCGGCGGACCGCGAGCGGTTTCCTTCCCGTCTACCCGAAGGTCGGCGCGAACCGGCCGCCGGCGACGGTCCTGCGCGGCGCCTCCGGGGACCTCGACGCCCTCATCGCCGGCCTCGCGGGCGTCGCGCCGGGGGCCGAGGTCACGAAGCGCCTCGGCGCGCTCGAGGTCCGCGGCGACCACGTCCGCGGCGTCCGCCGCTGGCTCGCGGGGCTGGGGCTGTGAAGGGGGGTGTACAGCGGGCGTAACGCCGGGCGATTCTTAACGGTACGCTAATGAGGCCTAGTCGTCGTCGTCGTCGCTGTCGTCGTCGCCGTCGTCGTCGTCGTCGCCAAAGCCGCCCATGGGGACGGGCGTGCCGGCGTAATCGGGATAGACGTCCGGGGCGGGGTCGTTGTCGTAGCGGCCGATGTCCATGTCCGCGCGCCAGTATTGCGCAATAAGCCAGAAGACTTCGCGCGGAAGTTCGATCACGCGGCCGAGGACGCCGTCCGCGGGCGGCGTCGCGCGGCGGCGCTCGCAGAGCACACAAAGCAGGAGGAGCCGCATACGCGGCTCGCGGACGTATGCCTTGTAGCCGCCGCATCGCTGGACTTCAGACAAGAAATCCGCTAGACCGGGAAATCCAGATTCCAGCAAAGGCGCGTGCGAAGACCCCCTTCCCTCTCGCGCACACATCGCAGCGTCGCGGCCCTCTGAATTGCTCAGGCTTTGGGCGCCACGGCGGAGCAACAAGTGCACCAAGGCGCGCTTGCCCCGCGCCGCTGCGCCCATTAGTGGAGTACTGCAGGAAAATAGGTCCTGGTCGGACAGAGAGAAATCAATATCCGCGCCGGAATCGAGAAGCATCGTCACTACCTCCAAATTATCTGAGCCCGAGACAGCTTTACTCGCGCAAGAGCGTACCAGCGCGTCCGTAGCCGTAAGTATCAGCTTACCGCCTCCAGACACCAGACCAGTGGGAACATGTAAAACATTCGCACCATTCGCCAGGAGCGTTCGAACCCCGTCTGCAGCGCCGTGACATGCGGCTCCATTGAGAAGCGTTGAATCCCCGGGGGGGATGATGGCAGTCGCGTCGCCACCGCACTCGATCCACATAGACACGGCCTCGGACGCTTGGCCATCACGGGTATAAATTAATTTTTCGAAGAGAGCGTTTGGTACCTTGCCAGGACCATGGACTTGGATGTGAGCGGTGAAGGTGGCTCGCAGATGTTCACGCCGTGTATGTGTCTCTAGGTCCATACGCGAAATGACGACAGACGATCCCGTTGGTCGCGCCTGTCAATAGAGCGCGACGAGGGCGTCCACAAAGCCCGATCGGCTCGCCGATCACGATCTGATCACGGCCAGCCAGATCGAGGCCTGCTGCCAGCACCGCAGCGTCGCGCCATGCATGCGTGCGTCCTCCTCCTGTGCGCGCAAGCTGCGCAGGCGCTCGCGCCGCACAAGCTGCACACCACGACGCCTGCGCGCGCGACGACGCCGGCGCTCCGCGCGCCCGACGCCGCGCGACGATCCGTCGCCGCCCTGCTCCTCGGCGGCGCGGCGCTCGCGCAGCCGCTCGGCGCGCAGGCCTTTGGCCTGCCGAGCGTGCCGAGCGTGGAGCTGACGAACCCGCTGACGAAGCTGACGCCGCAGATCCCCGGCGTCGAGATCGGCGGCGTCGAGATCAACCCGTTCAAGGAGCTCGACATCGAGCGGCCTGAGGCGCCGCCGGGCGCCAAGGACATGTCCGTCGAGGACCTGCTCGCGCTCGTGCGCCGCGGCGACGTCCGGAGCGTCGAGTTCCTGACGCCCTCGGGCGACAAGGCCGTCGCGACGCTCGCCGACGGCAGCCTCCGATCCGTGACGAACCCGCTCGAGTCCAAGAGCGGCAACCTCAAGCTCGCGGCGAAGCTCCGCGACTTCGACGTGCCCTACAGGACGAGCTTCGACCTCTCCAAGTGGTCCCAGACGGCGAAGCGCACGTCCTTGCGCGCGCGGAACCAGAACGTCCTCGACGCCGAGGAGCGCGGCCGCGAGGTCGCCGCGAAGCGCGCGGAGATGGACGCGCGCCTCGCCACCGGCGCCGAGGCCGCGCCGGCGGCCGCGCCGGCGCCATGAGGCGGGGTAATGGCGCCTTCGATCGTCTCGTTGAAGGCAAGTTGTTGCCTCGGGAGAGCAGTCATGAGCTGCGAGATGGAGCTCTCACAGCAGCAGTGACGCTGCGCAGTGCGTGACACCGCCAGCGACACACATGTGCATCCTCTTCGTCTACGTCGCCGGCGACGGCGCCTACCCGGAGCTCGAGCAGCGCTACAGGCTCGTCATCGCCTCGAACCGCGACGAGTTCCTCGCGCGGCCGGCGGCGCGCTGCGGCCGCTGGGCCGACGCGCCGCGCGTCGTCGCCGGCCGCGACGCCGTCGGCGGCGGCACGTGGCTGGGCCTCGCGGGCCGCGGCGGCGGCGACGCGCCGAGCGCGAAGTGGGCCGCGCTCACGAACGTCCGCGAGCCGGCGCAGCCCGCTCCCGACGTCCCGTACCGGTCGCGCGGCCGCATCTGCGCCGACTTCCTCCGCGGCGACGGCGGCGCGGCGGCGGCGGCCGCGGCGACGGCGGCGCGCGAGTTCGACGGCTACAACGCGCTGTTCGGCGACGGCGCCGGCGTCTGGTACGCGACGAACCGCGGCGAACGGCCCGGCGTCGCGCGCGTCGTCGAGCCCGGGATCCACGTGCTGAGCAACGCGAGCCTCGACACGCCCTGGCCCAAAAGCGAACGGGGCCGCGCGCGCTTCGCCGCGGCCTGCGCCGAACACGCGGCGCGGGACCCCGCGGCCTTCGCGAGGGCGCTCCTCGACGACGTCCTCGGCGACGACGCGGCCTGCGCGCTCGCGACGGGCACGGGCTGCACCGAGGCGCACGAGGCGAACTTCTGCTACGTGCACGTGCCCCTCACGGAGCGGCTGGCCGGCGGCACCTACGGCACGCGGACGAGCACGGCGGTCCTCGTCGCCGCGGACGGCGGCGTCACCGTGGTCGAGCGGGACCGCGCCGACGGCGGCTGGGCGGAGCAGGCGCTCGTCTTCCCGGCGGGCGCCTGCCCGGCGTAATCCTTATTTTGATCGCGCGCCGGGGCGGGGGTCGCTTAGTTCTGGTCCGCGCCGAACGTGATGCCGGCCTTGGAGGCCTCCTGGCGCTCCATGGTCCCGGCGGAGCCGGCGTTGAGCAGCGTGCTGTCGCCCGTGCCGGCGCCCGACGCCTCGTTGCCGAAGGTGATGCCCGCGACGGCGGCCGTCGTCCGCTCCATCGTCGCGGCGGAGCCCGCGTTGAGCAGCGTGCTGTCGCCCGCGCCCGCGCCCGACGCCTCGTTGCCGAAGGTGATGCCGCCTTTGGACACCTGCTTGCGCTCCATCGTCGCGGCGGAGCCGGCGTTGAGCAGCGTGCTGTCGCCGGCGCCGGCCCCCGCGGCCTCGTTGCCAAACGTGATGCCGTGCTTGGAGCCGGTCACGCGCTCCATCGTGCCGGCCGAGCCCGCGTTGAGCAGCGTGCTGTCGCCGGTGCCGGCGCCCGACGCCTCGTTGCCAAACGTGATGCCGTGCTTGGAGCCGGTCACGCGCTCCATCGTGCCGGCCGAGCCCGCGTTGAGCAGCGTGCTGTCGCCCGTGCCGGCGCCCGACGCCTCGTTGCCAAAGGTGATGCCGCCCTTGGCGCCCGTGACGCGCTCCATCGTTCCCGCGGAACCGGCGTTGAGCAGCGTGCTGTCGCCCGTGCCGGCGCCCGACGCCTCGTTGCCAAAGGTGATGCCGCCCTTGGCGCCCGTGACGCGCTCCATCGTGCCCGCGGAGCCCGCGTTGAGGAGCGTGCTGTCGCCCGTGCCGGCGCCCGCGGCGGCGTTGCCGAAGGTGATGCCGCCCTTGGAGACCTGGGTCCGCTCCATGACGCCCGCGGAGCCCGAGCTGAGCAGCGTGCCGTGGCCGCCGCTGCCCGCGCCCGCGGCCTCGTTGCCGAAGGTGATGCCGCCCCGGGCGCCCGTCGTCCGCTCCATCGTCGCGGCCGAGCCCGCGTTGAGGAGCGTGCTGTCGCCCGTGCCCGCGCCCGCGGCCTCGTT